ACAGTTTTTCCATCACTCGCACTATCTCGTAGGTTTATCTGGCTCAATCCTTTCAAAGTTTCTGCGCCTAACGGAATATCGTGCGTTCCTGGCTGTCCTCGTCCTTGCAGGAGACCATTCTTGGGGTTGGCACGACCCACATCCTTGAGGGCCTCATGACCCAAGTAGAGGTCATCAATGGAGAAAGTCACAACACGAAACGAATATGGTTCCTGAGACAATGTGGAAGCGAGTTGTGCGGTGAGTGTCGTTTTACCGATACCTTGCGGGCCTTGAATACCGACGAACAGAGGCGAAGTGTGTCCTTCTGATGGTCTAGGAGAAGGAATATGCTTGATAATATGCTTCAGGGCGATGGCTTCTAATGCCAGATCCATAGAGTACCAGGTCAGCTGAAGTGGAAGGGATCGGGTGTTGTTGAGGCTGGGCGGCAAAGTTAGGTTCCCGGTGTACTGGTGGAGGATGTAAGTATATCCAAGAACCGGCTTATAATCGTGTATCGTGCCTTTTTATATACCGTTCCATTCGTTTATAAGTGCGATTTCAGATTCAGGTGCTTGTAAAACGGGTCTGTTCGTTTATAGCAGAACCCCTGAACATTTTTACTAGGCTTTACTCGACGTTCCTGAGCCAATAGCTTTTTCTTGTATATATAACATTTTTTGGTCCGGGTCTTAGGCGGCCTCGGCCCACAATATGCCGGAGCCACATGTAATTAATTGCAGTGTACCACACTCATCGCGCGACTTTCCAAGGTCGTTGACTCATATCGTCCAGAAATAGAGTTCACTATCTCTTGGACCTTACCACATCCTTGAATTCATCTTCCATGTCCCCAATTGCCGACATTTCAGCGCAAAACGAAGCGTCTGTCGTGCCGAATGGAAAGCATGTAGAAAAACCAAGTTCTTCTTTCACGCCGCTATTACATAGAACGCCATGGGTCCCACCCGTTGCCGTTACAGGAGAAGGTGTCCACTTGATTCTAGAGGATGGGACGCGCATCATCGATGCCGTGGGAGGGGCAGCCGTGAATTGCATAGGCTCGGGTCACCCCAAAGTCATACAGGCAGTCAAGGATCAGTTGGATAAGCTAGTCTGTGAGTGAATAATGTAGTACAAATTCTATAATACTAACTCTACGTAGACGTGTATAATGTACAGCTCTCCAATCAACCTTCCGAAAAATTGGCAGCACGACTCATCTCGAGCTCGGATGGTGCGTTCAGCCAATGTGTGTTCGTATCCGGCGGTTCGGAAGCCATGGAAGCCGCGATCAAACTAGCAAAACAATACTTTTGGGAGGTCGATCAACCTCAACGGAAATACTTTATTGCAAGACATCAGTCCTACCACGGCAATACGCTCGGAGCATTGGCTTTATCTCATCACCCGTTCAGGCGAGCACCATACGAAGACATATTGAATCACAAAGCGTTCCATTACGTCAGTCCAGCTTACTATAAGCGCTATGCGCGAGCTGGTGAATCAGAGGAGCAATACGTCGCCAGGCTTGTCCAAGAATTGGAAGATAAATTCCAAGAGTTAGGCCCAGAAAATGTCATTGGCTGTACGTTTATATATACACCCTCCTACTGTGCATAGATCTAACAAATATAACAGTTGCCGCTGAACCAGTGGTTGGAGCCACTCAAGGTGTCACATACGCGCCCAAGGGCTACTTCGCCGCGATGAGTGCCGTATGCCGCAAGTACGGCGCACTACTTATCCTTGATGAGGTGATGTGCGGTATGGGGAGGATGGGAACATCTATGCATGCATGGCAAGGTCCCAATTCTTACACGGACGGCGTCTCGCCAGACATTCAAGCCGTGGCCAAGGGTCTAGGTGGAGGTTATGGAAGCATAGGTGCCATACTACTCAACGAGAGAGTTGCAGGTGGCTTGCAACAAGGAAGCAAGTATCTACAGCATGGTCATACCTATCAGGCTCATCCACTAGCAATGGCCGCCAGCTTGGCTGTACAAGATGTTATAGAGGAGGAAAACCTCTTAGAGAAGGCCGGAAGAGTTGGAACTGTTCTACAGCAACAACTCGAGCAGTCCCTGACGGGGCCGAACGCTCTATCTGCTCCCTACATTTTCGACATCCGCGGTGGCGGGTGCTTTTGGGGCATAGAGTTCCAATTCCCGGAAGAGGTCGAAGAGAAATGGTTCTCCAAGCAACGATTCGGAGGCTTGGTACAGGCTGCCGCTATGGAAAACGGTGCCGTCATCATTGGAATGAGTGGTGGAATCGATGGGAAGAAGGGTGACTTTATTATTCTGGCTCCAGCGTATAACATCAGTGATGAAGAGATTACGGAAGTCGTTACGAAAGTAACCAAGTCCATCGAAGACGTCTTGAAGCGAACTGTATTATCCTAAACCTTTCCATCATGTAGATTGCGGAGGATAAAGTGAATTTGGCTAAAAGAAAAGTGTCCTAAACTGAATGGTTTGCTCATAGTGATAAGATTAGACCGACCGAGACGAACAAGAGATTCACGGCAATGGGTAAACTCCCATGCTTAGAGATTGGATTAGTCCAGCAGTTCAGATAAATCGATTTCTCTCATTTTCTTATTTTCACGTTCATCTCGAATGATCCTGCCTCTAGTCAATATTGATCATTTCCCGGTGATTGGGGCCATCTCACCTTGCGTCCATGCGTACATCCTCGGCCTCCACTCCGACCACTTGTTGTGGAGTTTTAGCGTCTATCACCTATCCGTGTAAGGTATAGCATTAGTCGTTGAATTGGTCACATAGAACACAAGAAGCGCTCACGTAATGATTATCACAATTGGGACAATATTCATCGCTTTCCTCGTATCTTGTCATATCCTTTCGAAAAGCCTTCTTGCATTTTTTACACATAAAGCTCATTTCCATTGTCTTTGCCAGCTTGTGATCGGACTCCTCCGCATGACATTCAGGACAATCGAACCATTTTTTGCAGCATGGTGCACGGATGGATACTTGTGCGTTCAGAATGTGCTTACTAGAGGTAACCAGTGTTGAAGATGAGTACTACATCAAATTTGCGGCAAATGATTTGCTTACCACATGGAAGTGATGGATGGACAGGGTCAAGATGAATGGCGTTTGTATGTGTACCGGTCAGCCTTGTCCTAATCTCAAAAAACAAGAATTTTATTGGAAAAGACTATATGACAATGTATTGTATTAAATTAACAGACGTTTGTGGGTATTCAAGGGTGTTCCGGAGATACTGAACCTATTTTTATAGGTGCCATTCAGACTTCTAAGAACTCAACTCGGCCTTCTTTAGGTTTTGCAGCTGTTTCTCCTTCTCTTCAGCCGTGCAAATGGTCTTGTTCAGCTCTTCCTCTCGAGCTTGTAAATGGGTTTCCATTCCGATGATCAGCAAGCGCATCTGCAACCTAATCAGAAGAATGAGAGGGGTGTCTTGTATGATAACTTGCCTGCTCTAGGTATGCCGCTGTAGCGGTTGGTGGTGGAGCCGTAATGGCAGAGGCTGGAGCTGGAGTCGGTTTCTCAGGGGAATCTAATGAGGATCGAGGCGCCAAGTCAAGTGTCGTCTATAGCTCAAGGTAAGCCTAAAGGTACTTCATGAGTGGTTATACAGACCTGCCAGTTCTCTCCAGCCAAACGAGCCAGTTCATCCTCTAAAATTTTGATCCTTCGATTCGCCCTAAGTTTAAATCAGTAAATTACAACTTTTGGGCAGCTGATTATCGGATACGAGATCGATACCTATCCGTCTCCATCATGGCCCTTTCATTCTCTTTGTTTGCTCCAGCGAGTAATAGCTCGACATTTCTTACGGTCTCCTTAGCCGCTCTTAGCTCTTCAGCACTGGGTCTTTGTGCCAACAGTGCCTGTAATGACAGTATCTGGTCCTTGAGCTGAGGAATGCGCGTCAGAGCAGTTGTTTTGCCAGTGACCTAACAGCTTACCCGGTTGTTCTCACGTTCTGAAGCTTCTAGGTCCCGTCTTAGAGACTCGAGATCTGTGGAGCCTTCTCTTCTTTCAGTCACAACTCCCAATTCATCATAGCCAGCGGTTGATGACCCCAATCTATTATGTCCTCGTGTAGTTGTTCCGCGTCTCGTGGTCATCACTGAAATATAAAGTCGAAAGATGTCGAGGATTCAGGGGCAGAGATCAAGTTGCAGGAAAGTAGTCTACACTGTTTGGCGACCAAACATCTGTCCGCAACTTTGAGCCACCCATTCAAATTCTCTAAGACCGACTCCGGAACGAGCTAGGCTATTTCTTGTCGAGCCCTACAGTATGGGCAAGACTCAGAAAAAACGTGCCATGCGCAGGCACAATCCTGTTCGAGTACCAGACTCGCACTTGCAGCACGGTTTAGCCACAGCCGCAGCTTCAACTCCGGCAAATAAAAAGGAAGCTCTGATCCCAGTTATTGAAAAGGTATTTAATCGTATGGTCATTCCGATTAACTGTCCCTAACTCGTTCCAGCTTTCTAGTTCGGATGTGCAAGAGCGAATTTGGGCATGTGCGGCGATTTCTAATCTCATTCAAAACGATTCCTCGACAAGAAGACTCCTACAGGGCAAAAACATCGTGGGAGCTCTAATTGCACGGCTCAAGGACGATTCAGAAGAGGTAATCGTGGAGGCAGCTGGTAGCCTGAGGTATGGCCATCTTTTCTGAGTATAGAAAATCTACGTTCTTAACTTGTCCCTAGAAACTTGTGTATCGATGGTGGTCATGAGATATGCGCAGAGATGTTCAACAAAGGGATCTTGGAACCCTTAAAGTCGTTCATCCCTAGGATATCTAATATCTTGGGACAATACCTAACAAACCCAAAAAGCATCTCAGAGGATACAAGGTTCATCTACGAGTTTGCTGAGAACACCATCACCTTACTCTGGTGTTTATCGTAAGCACCTGATACCGCCGTGTCTTTTCATGAGTACTGAACTCGGACCTAGAGAAACATCTAGCAAGGCATTAAATGCCGTCAATCAACTACACTTGATACCATTTCTGATGGCATTCTTGGATTCACAAGCTCATGATAAACTCCCAGTAACCACGAAGATCGCTGCAGGTAGGCTTTTATTGACATCTTGTACGCATTCCACAGGCTCAAATGACTCTAACTGTAAGTCTAGCTCAATGTTTGTACGTGCTGACGGAGGAAAATTTCCCCGCCATCGACGAACTCCGCACAAACGCAACCTATGTCCATTGTCTTTTGGGACTTGCTCGAGGAGATGGAAAATTCCGTTCAGATTCGTCTGAAAGGTCTACTGAGGACGCGCAAAAGATGCTGTCGGTGCGATTACTCTCATTAAGGACGTTGGTTTGTGGTACGTCGGCTACAATATCGTCCCCACTCAAGGTAAACTGATGACTTCGCCCTTCAGGGATACTCCGCAATATACTGCCACTACCATCGCTGATGCAGGCCTCTACCATTGATATCGACCGAACTGTTATCCTTCCATTCCTTCTGCCAATCTTACCGCCGAATTTGATGGATCATGTCACACAGGTACAAAGCCTACTCGTCCTGCAAGAGAATGAAGCCATCGGAAAGCAACAACCAATCCTAAAGAATGGTGCCAAGTCCGATCATCGAACTCACGCAGAAGTGGAATTAGATAGGATAGAATCGGAGCTGAGAGTATTGAGGATGGCAATCGAGCTTGTCACTGGTATTTGCGCCGAGCTGCCGGAACCGGATGATGATGCTGATGTGATATCGGACGAAGAAGACGACGAAGAAGGTTAGTATACATAACTTTTCGATTGTACTTACTCACGCGTTTGGCCTCGTAGAAGAATGGGAAGACGATGAAAGTGATGTTGCAATGGAAGAAGATGATGCAGCCTCAGGGGTTGCTGCTTCACCGGTAGATGAAACAAATCTACCCGCAGGATCTTCTACGTCTTTTGACCTAGTGTCGTCCATAGTTCCACCTTGTCTTGCTTACATCCAACCAACGCCTTTCTCATACCCACCATCCTTTCAACCCTCGCCTCATCCCCCGACTACCTCTGCTCTTCAAGCAATTCACATAGCTGCACTTGAGTGCCTGAACAATGCCTGTCTATCGATCGCACAGCAGGATCTTCATTCGTCAAATGCCACAAATCAAACGTTCGCTGGCTTAATGAAGGCAGTCTGGGACGAGGTCTGGAAAATGCTTGCAATTTTAGGGGTTCCAGAGGCTTCTGGACTAAGTGCGGGTCCTCGTCAAAAGCTTGATGTCTGGAACATATCGCTTGGAGTTTTATGGTCTGTAGCGCGCATCAGGAGAGGCGACGCGGATCTCGTTCCGGAAGAGGAAAAGGTCCGAGTACTGGTGGAGATGTGTCGTTCATCACAAGAGGATGATGTAAAAGTCATGTGCCTCGGAATTTTGGAGTGTCTTGCAACCAATCCCAATCCGTCCTTCGTAGCCGCTAACCAAGTATGTCATTTTGTTAACAGTCTTTGGGCAAACTTGAACGTTCATAGGTCATCTCTGAGTTCATTCTTGGCTTCCTTCCCGCCCCAGGTCAAGGTCAAAACAAGCACCTAAGCTCACCTGAAGTGATGATACAGGCAGCATCAGCAATGATAGATATATTTTCAGATGAGGAATCGCCATGGGACCTTAACTTCCGTCGTGGAAAATGGGAGTTCACGTTGAAGAATGCGATACCCGGCATACGAAAGGGAGTCAGGTCAATCGACCGCCGGAAAGAAGGGGGTGCACAGCTTCGTGATAGAGGAGACGAAGTACTCGAGAATATGGTGGCGTTCGTTAAGTACAGAAGGAATTTAAAACTGTGACCCCCACCCAGCGAGTCGCAAGCTATTTGTACCATAGACGCCGGTTCATCCGATAAACCTTCTGACTTATAAAGACCAAATTTCCCTTCAATTCCTTCCTCTTCTACAGTATAGATCAAAGATGGAACCAGACGGTTCGAACCGTTAGTCCCTATCCTGGTACAACCTATTGACGTTCAGCTCGTCAATTATATCTATGAAACTAATTGATATAATTTGAAATCAATTGGAATGGCACGAGGCCTGTGTAATCAGCTTCAAGCTAACATTCACGCTCAGTGTTCCCGTACAGGTGTACGTTTTCGTTTTAATTCATTGCATAATCATTAATTATAAGTGTTAATTCATATGCGAAATATGTAAATCCATCAGAATGAATGAAATCAGGATTTCAAACT